TGCAGATTTTCACAGGTGTCGTGCCAAAGGCACAGCCCGAGTCTGGCCGCCCTAGAAGCCTACACCAGCCATATTTAATCCCAGTAGGGTCAATCCTCATTCAAACTCTTTATTTAAACCCCGTTTTCTGGAGCGGACACGGAGGCACAGACAGGGCATTGCCAATTGCCCAGGTCACACAGCCGGGAAGTGTTAGAGTTAGGGCGGGGCCCTGCTGTGTGAGTTCAGGTGAAACAGTTACCCTCTCTGAGCTTCCCTCTTGTCATCTCTGAAAGTGATGCAACTCTCCAGTCTTTCCAGATCACGGCAGCAAGACAAGTCTGATGAAACCAACCAGCCAGCACCTCCCCAGGGACTGCTGTGTGGGTGACCAGGATCTGCCCGGGGGTGGGGGGGTTGAGTCGGTACTATCCATTCCCTAGACTTGTTTGGTCTGGTGCGCACAGCCCCCCAGGGGACAGGAGCGCCCAGCCTTGTCCTCAAGTCACTTTCAGGGCCGTTGGCAAGAGCGGGAAGTGATCTGTAAACAATCACCATGTCACTTGAGTGAGATCTTTGCTTCCAACTCAGCCTGGGCTTTTGGGGTCTTTGGCATGACTGTCTAAACGGCTTGTTGGCTTTGGAACGGCCTCTGCTGGTCACAGACCTGCCTTATCGTCAGGCATTAGAACCTCTGTCCTCCTGCTTCACTATTTCATGATTCTTTGGGACCCACGGACAGCCTTCCCCCACATCCATCCTCGCAGCCTCCAATCTGGCTTCCTACTGAGCAGCTGTGTGACCTCTGGCAAGTCGCTTAACCTCTCTGAGCCTCCTTGGCTGGATCTGCTTTATTTTAAAATAGAAGGGATCCATATCCGTTTGGGGCGTCAGGGTAGTTTGCAGGGTTCAAGGGCAAGACAATAACGTGTGCAGAGGCCTTTGTAAGCTGTCCGTGAATGAAGGGCCCTACCTCCATGAACGTTCTCCGAAGCCGCTTGGAACAAGTGGCCAACGGCTCTCAGTGAAAAAGCCTTTATTCCTGCGTGCCCTTCCCTTTAATCCTCTGGCATTTCTCGGAGCAGTGAGCTTCCTTCTCACAAAGCGGGCCCGGGGACGTCCCCCTGAGGCTGGGATGCCTGGATGCTGGGTGAGTCCCCAGAGCTGGCGATCACCCCACCACGTGCTCTTAAACGCTGGTGACCTCACAAGGTCCTGGATGAATGGGTTCCGTGGTGAGGGGAGTGGTATGGGGGCCCATCCTTTTCTCTAGCATGGAACATACACTTAGGACCCCTTGTTGTGTACCCCAATACCTCTTTTCTATTAAATATCTACTTTTTTCCTATTAAATATCCAATCTCTCTGTCTCTCTCCTCTCCTATCTTTGATCTAACTTTGGAAGCAATTTGGATCAGATCATTCCTAAAACCCACTTCAAAACCTCTGCAGATTCCCGATCTCCTGTAGATGAAGTCCAAAAGCCTTAGCAACACACACCCATCTCCGAAAACCCGCCTCCTCCTGCCCCTGCCTCCGCCCGCAGCCCCTGGCCCAGAGCATATGCTTAGATCCTGAAAGACCACCCTTTCTTGTTCCTCTGGCTTTCCGGTGGTCGCACAGGAAAGGTTCAAGAACCCTGTCCTCTCGAGCTGTGCCAGGATATCCACCCATCCACCCCCCTGGCCCCTGGCTCAAGCTAACTTATGGAAATTTTGACCTTTCTTCCCCTCTTTGACATTTGTAGACCATCTGGCTCTGTGCGAACTAGAAGCTTCTACAGTACAAGCTTTCAGTCGACGGGCAGCCCCCGCCCCCAGCCTGCAGTAGTGGATCCGATGAGGTCAGAGGTCATGGTCACCAGGGTCATCTGTGTGGGCCACTCACTGGGTGTTTGACATTTGGAGCGCGGGCAAGTTTTTCCTGCCCCTGAATGTACACACATCGCCAACATTATTCCACACAACAGAGTCCATTTCAGGGGAGGCTGTGTGTGCGGGTGCAGGGAAACTTCCGGAACCTACGTGGGCATCGTCACTGAGTTTACTCCTGGTGAATGCAAATGACACAAGGGAGCCAGGATCAGGGTGAGGGGAGCGAGGCACTCGCCGACGACACAAAATTTGTGGAAATGTCCCACGTGTGGAAATCACTACAAATACGATTTTCCTTTGTGAAGGTCATGTTGATGGTCAAAACGGACGCAGAAAATTCAACGTGAGCAAAATCTCAAAATTTAAAAAAAAAGTCAGGAGGACCCTTCCATTGTGCAACACAGCCCACATGCCTCTACCCTAACACCCCCCGGGGGCGGCCAAGCCAAGGGGGCAGTTGAAGCAAGTCCTCTCCTGTGGGCATGTGGGGAGAAGGTGACTCTTACTGTGTTCATGTTCCAGAAAGCTCAGCCTCCCTCTCTGGCCCTATGAGAGGACAGCAGTCGCCCTCACACCCACTTCTGCTCAAGTGGCCCCTGGAAGGCCCGTCTTGTCTACTAAGATTTGAAGGAAATGGAGTCCGTTCAGTTTTTTGTGTTTTGTTTTGTTTTCCCTCCAGAATGTTCCAGATGTTCAAACCTCTGGTTAAGTCTGTTTGGGCAGCACACTCCCCATGCCCTTCCCGGTTGATATGGAAATGGGTGTTAATTCACCTGATAACAGGTCCCTCAGTGTTTCCCAGCACTTCAGGAAGCTGCCTGGGCCCTTCCGGAACTCCCTCACAGTTCTCTAACTGCAGCGGGTGGGCCTGCGTCCCCGTGGTCCCGGACGTCTCCCCCACCTGCGAGTAAATTCCGTCTCCAGCTCTCGGCTTGACAGTCGAGGTCTCATCTTAAAATGTCACCTCAGAGCCGCCGTCCCTGGACACCAGAGCCATAAACCATCCCCAGCTCTACTTGTTTGCAGGGCCTTATGAATTCCCCCATCAAACCCACCCCCCTCTGCCCCCTGGTGTGTTCACCACCCCCTCCCCAAACAGGGTACCCCAGGGCCAGGCTGTCCCCCGCCAGGGTTCAAGGCGCTGTGGGGCCCTGATCACCTTGACCCGATCAACATGCTTTAAGGAAGATGAACAGCAGAGACGTCTGTCCACACCCTCCTTCTGTCCCCTGCTCCCTCCAGCCTCCCTCCCACTCCTGCCTGTTTCAAAGCAACCTGTGGGCCCCCTGGGTGCTGGGGAGCCGTATGGGGGTGTCTAGGTGAGTGGGTGGGTAGATGGGAAAATGGAAGCAAAGAGGTGCTTCTAGTCACCTGAAGAAAAGGAGGCAAGTGCCCGCCCTTCTCCCTTGGGAGGAAGGAAAAGACAGGGGACCGGGTGCTTGTGAATGAGAAAGAACGTGCTGGGAGGAAATGAGGAAACGGACAGATGCAGACAGGATTCCTGGAAGGGTTTCTTCTCTCCCCTACTTGCCCCCAGCCCCATTTCCACCCCCGGCTTTCTACCCCGAAGGCCAGATAATCAGATGGCAGAGACCCGGGTACGCAGGGCCTAAACTAAGGGTGTGCGTTCTGTTTGGAAAGAGGGCAGCCCAGGAGCAGGTCTTGAAGCCGCGGGGGCACTCGGGCACCTCGCTTCCCTTCCCTCCTAAGTCCCAGATCTTCTAAAACAGAGGTCTCTAAAGATTGTTGCATTGTGGCTTCAGCGAGGTGGAGAAAACCTTGGGTGGCCAACGTTACTACCTCCAGCCCTCGGGGTGCCCCGGGGAACCCCCAAGCACCGGGGTGTGCCGGGGGCGCACGGAAAGCCGCTAGCCCAGCCGGGCGGCGGTGCCGTCCCTGGGCGCGGCGGCGGGAGGGCGGGCGGAGGCCGGACCGGGGCGGGTGCCCACCGCGCAGGCCGGGCGGGGTGGGCCGGGGGAGGGAAGGAGAAGGAGGAGGAGGAGGAGGAGGAGGAGGAGGAGGAGGAGGCGCCTAG